GGGAGCGGGGGCGGGGGCGGGGGCGTGCACCCGCCCGCGCGTGAGTGGTGGCCGCGGCCGGCGGCGCGTGTAGTGCCCGTCGTTACCGATGCGAGGCGATTAGCAGCTGACGGGCGGCCGTTAGCCAGGCGGCCGGCGCTGACCGCTCCAGCCCGTTGTGCTCCCGACCCCGGTGGCTTCCTTGTGCTATGCAGCGAAGAGTGATTAGGGATTAAAGGGGACTGCGCATTGAGAAACCAGTGGTGTTACAACAGCATGAACTTTCTCGAATTTTTTCTAATTTTGTAATTTTCAAAAATTCAGAGAGTTCAGAAAAATAAAACCTGAGCCATTATTTTATGAGTCCCTGGTCTATCCGTGAAAACAAATTAAATAAAAAATGCAGTTTTTGAGACTTTTAAAAATAATTTGTAATAAGTTCAAGCAGAAATTGCGCAAACATTACTCGTATTTTAAAAACTTGTACATGTACATCATTGTACCTTCTTCAATGATCTGATATTTTTAGAACATATTTCGTTTAATCAAAGATTTCTGTTTCAATTTTGTATTTTTGCAATGTTACCTTTTTGCAATTTTGGAAAATAGAGAAACGTCGCCGGAAATGAGACTAGTGCCATTTTTATCGTTCTTTCATACTTGCCGCTTTTGAGAAAAGTGTTTCAAATTGCCTATATTTTTCCCAAAATTACGCGATAACAACTTATAGTTTCGAAAAGATGTGCATCATGCTATTTCAAGATCAGACTGACAGACAAGATCAGGCTTTATTAAGAAAAATAAGTTTTATCGTCAATATTGTAGTTGTAGCACGACGTCACAAAAAATTAAACTCATCGGATTTAAAAAAAAACAAAAAAAAAAAAAAACCAAAAAAAAACAACAACGCTGATTTCAGTGAAAGTGAGTCTTGCACTGTCCTTTTAAGTGTCTTTTACACGATCCGAGAATAAGAGTTTTTCTGATGAAAATTCGCTTTTTTCCGGCGCCGCATTACCATATTTTCTCTCCTAATGAAGAGAGTGCGATCAACTAAAACATAAAAAAACTGCAACGACGTTAGGATAGGTGATGGAATGATCGTTTTGATGGAAACAGGAAAATGTTAGATTGAAATGATTCACGGTAAAGTGAATCGAGACATCAGTTATTTAATAAACGTACAAAATGCTATAGCAAATTGAATATCTGTTTTGGCCGTTTTTCGTTAACTGCTTCTAAGATCCATATATTGGCTGCAAAACATAATTTTTTTTCATTATACCATAAAATAGGTCAAATGACGTATTTTTATTTGTTTTCCGTCTACGTAAATAGTTGCAAACCTTGCTATTTGCAAATATATGGCAGCCAGTACGATCTTTTATTGCAATAAAAATAGTTTTCGTTAAATAGTTAAACCCCACCCTTAACAAGCAATAATAGCATTGAAACACAAGAAGGAAAAAACTTTCATTCTTGATTTAAAATTATGAACCAATCAGAAATACATTTTTATGGCATTTAAACCAAGTATTCGTATTTCTTTTTGTACGCTGTGGTACTTCACTATTGTAGATAAATTATTATTATATTAATGTTTTTTCAATGACATGTCGATTGTAATGTTCGCTTGTGTTCTGTAGGAACGTTTATCATATTTTTTTATTATTTTCCTTTTGCCATGATTCCATGTTCAAATTTTGTCCTCTTCATGATGATGATTTTCAAGTACTCGTAGTAATTCCATTCTTATCATTGGATCATATTTACTGAATTATGAGTCCGCTTTCCTTAACACACGCTTCCGTTATGGAGCGGCACACAACTAAATCACTGAAGCAGTACTTCTCCAAGTCACTGCCCATAAAGATGTTTCGTCATGTAAGAAATCGTAATGCCCTGACGACCGCTGCCTCTCGTAGGGCGCCTCGCGCTCACTCCATATTGTTCGTGGTCTTCTGCGAACTTCTATTTGTGGGAGCGTGACTTTCTCTTCATATCCAACGACCAGACCTCGGCGGGGTTGGGGTTTTGATGAAACGATCTCTGCTGTTGCACAATCGGGGCTGGCTACCAGTGACCCCTTCGTGCTTGTAGTGACGTAGCGAAAGAAATGAGGGTGGGGGGTGAGATGAGACAGTACATTCTTCAGGGCGGTACGACCCGTGGTGGTCAAAACAATATTAGGGAGAATTTTATTTCAAAGTTGCGAGGAATATGATAATTGCCGATTGAGTTTTAGATAACGAATTCAGTTATGTAGCTCAAGAAAGGGTAAGATGGTAAAAAGTTACCCTAAATCAAAAGACATATGAGTAGTTAAACTATAACTCTAACATAAAAATAATATTTTTGGCCCCCGAGCCAACACTCAAACCCGCCTACAGTCAAACCGTGTTTTTTATTTCGATGTTTTCGTCAATATAACACTATTTTATCTGATTGAAAAAAATCACGAAGAATAAGAAACTAATTCATACTATTATAAAAATATTTGTTGATATTTTCTCAGCGCTAAATTCAAATGCAAAAAAATCGTATAAAATAACAAAAAATATTTTTACTGGGTTGTAGAAACCTGAAACAGGCTCGAAAAAATTTCAAAAGTTCCGCACAAAACACAAATTTTTGTGGATTTATTTAAGATTTTTTCAACTTCTGGTCTGCGGTTTAAAAAACAATATTTTTACCATTTTCCCACCTTTACATCACCTTGACTTTAAATACACTTTGAAAGTGTCTGCAACAGTCCTGTGGATTTATTTTAGAGTATTCTAAATTTGTATACAGTGTTGAAGCACCCAGTAATATTTTGACTTTGTTATATAATTTGGAATAACTTATCAGATTTTTAAAGCTTTCTAATCCTTTGTGTATCTTACGCTAAAGAAAGTCGATAGTGTTTACCAGTTTATAAGAAACCATCGATGCAAAACCTTTTGTAAGACTGGTGAATGGAGAATTACACCTATATAATACACAAATATAACACATTTGAGGACAAAAGCATACACAAGAATCAATTCTTAGGTAATGGAAAATAACTTTCGAAGGGGTAGATCTCCGCTACCGAAGTCTGTAACTACTAAGTCCTAGGCACAGGTGCTGACGTTTCGGCCGCCATTCTGTGACCTTCTTGGCGGAAAGTCGGAGGTGCCTAGGACGCTGTCCACAGGACAGTCAAGTACTTGACTACAAGTACTTTAGTTTTTTTACTATGGCCCAGCAATTGAAAAAATCTAAAAAAATCACAAGTGTTCTGCGTGAAAGTTTGAAGCTTTTTTTCGAGCCAGGTCTGGTATTCTAAGACACAACTAAACAGTTCTTAAATATCCGGCTCCAACTTGTTCCTCTTCATTTCCTCACATGTCCCCACTTATCCTTCACCTATTATTGAATTATTTTCTCATAAAATGACAAAAACGAGGTTTTTCCTTAGCGTATGATATGCGTACACAAAGGATTACAAATATTTAAAAATTTGATAACTTTTTACATATTGTGCAACAAAGTCAAAAAAATTACTGGGTGTTACAACATTGTATAAAAATTTATAATACTCTAAAATAAATCCACAGAACTGTTGCAGACACTTGCAAAGAATATTTAAAATCAAGTTGAATTAAAAGCGGGAAAATGGTAAAAATGGTTTATATTTTTTACCGCAGCCCAAAAATTGAAAAATCTGAATAAAACCACAACAATTTGTAGTGAGAGGAACTTTTGAGATTTTTCGAGGCTGTTCGAGGATTCTAGAACTCAGTAAAATATTTTTTGTATTTTTTAAAAAAAAGTTTTTGCGTTTGAATTTGGTGCTGAGAAAGTATCAAAAATATTTTTCTTATAGTATGAATTATTTTTAAATATATCATGTTTTTTCAATCAGATAATATAGTATTAAGTTTACGAAAAACTTAAAATTAAAAATCTCATTTTGGGTTGTAGAGGGGTGTGAGTGTATGTTCGGGGGCTAAGAAACCTTTCAAAAATATTATTTTTATGTTAGAGTTATAGTGTAACTACTCATATATCATTTGGTTTAGAGGAACCTTTTACTATCTTATTCGTGGGTACACTTTGAGAAAAGATACGAAAATGTTCTTAAATATGTCGTTTACTGGTGCTTTTACCCTAGGTACGAATACAAATATCAGAAACATAAATTAATTTTTTTGAGGAGATGGTAGCCATGGGGGTGGTTAACACCGTGTTGAACAATCCCAATTAAACTGTGCCAAGCAGCCTCGAACGAAACTTTGCCTTTAATGCGGCCGTAGATGTGGCCAGGGAACTATAAACAAGAAAATAAAAACGCTAAACGCTAAACTTCAAGAGCTTGGTTGAAGGTTGTAGATTAAAGAGAGAGATATGCAAACTATTTACTTCACAATAATACAGTCGAAAACTAACGAATATCGAAAATATTATTATTATTGAAGAATTATTTAAAATCACGGTTCCATTATCGTTGCACTGATTATACTGACTATTGCGCCACAGTTCTGCTTGAGCCTTGGCGCAGTGCACATCGATGTTCGCGGCTCCGCTTACTCCGTGGCAAGCGTAATGCTGTGTTAGTGAAACCAGTGCTTTAGTAACTCGAAACCGTAAATCTACAGTAATCAGGGAAAATACTTTATCTCCTATAATATTAATCAGTGAAAAGTGAACTTCATTAAGCGTGTTAAAAGTGAGCCAGGCGTGTTAAGAGTGGTTTGGCGCCAGAATGAGTAACGCTGAAGTAGAAGAGTGTGTCCGTAAAACCGTTGAATATCAGCTCCAAGCTATTATTCAACAGCTGGAGCAAGAAAGAATTTATCTGCGTCAACAACTACAGCACGACCAAGGAAACAAGGAAAATCTCCAACAACGCCAGCTACAGCAAGGGCAGCCTTCTGTCAGTGTAGCAACCTAATCTTCGGTGTTTCAGAACAGTAGCTCTTCAACGCACTTAGACATCGCCCCTCAGACCCAAGAATCGTCTCCCGTAAGTACCGATATCAATAATTAAGGAAACGAAACGAAAAATGATGTTGATGTGAAGGTGAAGCTATGTACAATATCTCAGTAAAATGTTATGCTACTCTAGAAAATTTAGATCATGAAAGAATGAAGCGGTTAAAGTTTAAATACCCGCATTGAACGCACACGCGGATTAGATAGTCCAATGATAAGATATCAATTTCCGTAAAACAGACACCTTCAGGTTCTTAACATAAGCATTTACTTTCCTCTTCTTAATTAACAATTAATTCAGAGTGGAGACTGCTCATATCTTATCGATGGCCAATAATTTCATTGTCTAATCGTATGTACAATTAAAACCCTTGGAAGACTGTATTGACGAACAAGTAGAAATTATTTTTTTTAAACTTCTGTGGGAAGTTGCCGGTTTGGGCACATGACACAAAGGTAGAGATACGCGGCCCATGTAGGAATGCGAGTGCTAAACAGCCCCACTTGCCTCAAAATTATGAATTATATTCAACTATCCTGAAGCTGATACATAGAGATTACTTTTATATCTTCTTCTTCTTTTTTAGCTGCTTATAGATTATATTTATTTTCTTATAATCAACATGGAATGAGTTTTTTGGTTCATTCAGGTATGTTAATGAATATTTCCGTGATTATTTATTATTATTTTTGCATTGATTTCCTTAGATTATTATAATTATACATGGGGATTATTTTTTGTTGTATTTTGCTTTATTAGTTTAATATGAATGTTGATTTATGGAATCAAAAGTAAATAATAAGTGATACATTAGGCTATTAATTATAATATTTTTTTGTAAGTTATCTTTTGTTATTTGATATTTTATCTCAATAATGATGTTTTTCTGGATTGGTTGTCTATGTAAATGGGTATGTATTTTTTTTATTGAAATATTGTCTCTATTAATTCTTGTAATATTGTTATAAGAATTGTTTTGAAAAGTAAATCGTTATTACTTATAAGATTTGTGATGTATATTTCATCTTTAGTAATTTATTATAGATATAGGTATATAACAGGTGATTATAATTTGTCTGGGTTTATTATTTTAGTATTAATATTAGGCCTAATTTGATTAGAATTTTATTAAGATTAGGATTAGTATTTTATTGTTCAGTAATTTAATAGAAAAAGTCTTATAATGCTGGTATGATTACAGCTTTATCAAATTATATTGGTGATATGACTTTCTTATTATCAATTGCTTGAATAATAAGATATGGTAGGTGACATTATTTATATGTTAATAATTTTGGAAGTTTGGATATTGCAATATGATATTTAATTATTTTAGTAGTTTTAGCTGCAATAGCTAAAAGAACTCAAATTCCTGTTTCTTCTTGACTTCCTGCAGCTATAGCTGCTCCTACACCTGTATCTGCTTAGGTTCATTCATGAACTTTGGTTACAGCAAGAGTATATTTACTTATTCATTTTGGATTAGTTATTGAGATTTATTCGATAAGTGAATTTATAATATTTATTGGTTGTTAAACTATATTTATGTCTGGTTTGGGTGATGATTTTGAAATTCATTTGAAGAAGATTATTACTTTATCAACTTTAAGTCAGTTGGGTCTAATAATAAGAAGTATTGGAAGAGGTTATTATGATTTGGCTTTTTTTCATTTATTAACATGATATAAACTAGCTTCAAGCAATTCGTGGAATAGGTGGAATAGTAAATCAAATGCCTTTAACTTCTGTTTTTTTTTTGGTATCAAATTGGTGGTTAGTATGTGGTATGCCTTTTTTAATTTATTAATTTTTGTGTTGCTTTTTTTCCCTAGTGGATTGACTGTTTTTATACTTTTCGTTTAATTTATTATGTTATTATTAGTAAATTTAATTTTAAGAGATTGCATTGTTTGGGTGATGAAATTATGGGTTTATTTGTCCTATATTTATATTAATATTTATATCTGTAACTGGTGGCTCACTATTGTCTTGAGTGATGTTTAATACTCCTGGTTTTATTTGTTGGTTACTTGGTGGTTGAATGGGTTTTGAATTATAAATGTTGATAAATAATGGTAGATTTAGTTTAATAAATTATTATTTTGTAAGATTTTTAGGGTTGATATGGTTTATATCTTATATATCTACTTATATAATTAGATCTTATCCTTTGTGTGTGGTTTTAAACATTGCTCGTGTGATTGATCATGGCTGAAGAGAGGAACTTGGAGGTCAGGGATTATTTATATTTTTATTTAAGGTGAGGTTATATAATGAAGAGTTTCAGTTTAATTATTTTAAGTATTATTTATTGAGTTTTATGTTTTGGATATTTATTTTTATTATTATTATTTTAATTTGTGGTGGTAATTAGATTTATTACCTTAAATAGCTTATATGTATAGAGAATGACATTGAAGATGTTAGGGAGATAATTAATCTTTAAGTAGTATATAATTATTTGAAACCAAAGTAAAGGTATATTATTGTTAATAATATCATAGAATTAATTTTCCATTAAGAAAATAAGTTGTACATAAGTGAGCTGCTAACTTTTCTTTTTAAAGGTTTAATTCCCTTGTTATTTCTGGTTTATATAGTTACGGTTTATTTTCATTATACATATATTTTCATTATGAAATATTTAACTATAATACCTGTTCAGCTCATTGTAGAGCACCTTGATTTCATTTGTGATATAGACCTAGACGTAAAATAATAATAATAACAAATATTAATGTGAATCATTGTAATGAATTTGATGAGAATTGAATAATTATTGTAGGTATAATTAAAGCGATTTCTACATCAAAATTAAGAACATAACTGCAATTAATAAATATCATAAAGAGAATGGTAAGAGTGCAGATCTTTTTGGATCAAATCCACCTTCAAATGGTGAAGTTTTTTCTCGATCTAATATGTTTTCTTTTTATAGGATTATTTGAAGAATTAAGAAATATTACTTTAGTAATAATTTTAATAAGACATATTAATGTTATGATTAACTAATTTCTTTCATCAGAAATCGTTAATTACTATAATATGATTTAAGAGATCATTGAGTCATCTGATAAATAATTTTTGATTCAATTAATGAAGTTTTTTAAATTAACTCAATTACAATTGGTATGAATTGTGGTTGGCACCACAATTTTCATTGTCCATGATATAAACGAGGTCGATTAATTATAAAGTTAATTTGATTTAATCGACCTGGAGTTGCATCAGTTTTTACAGCGAGGGCGGAAATTGTTCAAGAATGAATAACTTCAGCGTCTGAGACTAATGTTCGGATTTGAGTATTTATTGGTAAAATAGTTCGATTATAAACATCTAATAGACGAAAAGATCTAATGTTATCAAAGGCAGATACATAGGAATCAAATTCTCATGATGTTTTTGAAATTATATATACATATGATCAATGTCATTGGTGTCCAATTGTTTTTATTGTAATTAATGGATTTAGGGATTCATCTAATAGATATAATAATCCTAATGATGCTAATGCAATAAAATTAGTGTAATTGCAGGTAAAATAGTTCAGTTAATTTCAATGGATTGTCCTTCTAGGAGAAATCGATAGGTATAAGGGTTGAAAAATAATATGGTTATGATATATGAAACAAGAATTGTAATTATTAGTAAAATTATTATTTTTATTATATTTATGACTATGAAAGAAGATAAGTTCAGTAAGCCAGTAACCGCAACCTTCAACTGCCTGTTGAGGACTTTAGTCCAAACCGCTTGTTCTTGATACCACGATCTAGACCACATCAGACACTTTTAGTGTACTGTACTACATCGGGTTTACCTATCTAAACATTTCGCATAGAGTTTCCGACATTCAAGTTATTTTATTCAGATGAAAATTAGTGGGTTGCCGCTACAACGCATATATTCCTTGCCCTATCACTTGTCTATGTGTGTGTGATTTGGTTAGATTGGATGTACAAAATTTTATTGTGACCTACTAGGCAATGTAACTACGCATTAGAGGTTATGCGACGTCAATGAAATGAATGCACTACAAGAAATACGTCTACGAACAACTCGTAGCAAAAGCACGTGTTGGTCTTGTGAATTGCATATACATTGCAGTTCTTGTTCATTCGATGCAGCAGTGTAACGTTGGCTTTACAGGACATGCAATGTGTGAAAGTAATGCATTCGTAACTTACCGACCTTGTATGGCACAATTCATTTTTGATGTGAGTAGTTGATAGGTTTTATTACTTTCGCAGAAAAATGTTAGTATTAAATGTATTACAAAAATATGACTTTCAACATTATAACATTTTTATTTATATGTGTAAATGTTAAAAGACTACTTTTACTAGTTTTTCGGTAAAAGTTTTATAACATTTTTTGTTGACTTTTCTTCTAGTAATTGTTGCAAGCCCTTTTTTAAAAAGATATTATATCTTACTGTGCACTATAGTTTGTTTTACAATGTTCGTATTTAAAACAAAATATAACCTTCCCATAATTATTTAATTCATTGTTATCAATGAATATATAAAATCTTAGAAAAAATGAAATAGATGTTATATCGAAGAAGAACTAACATAACGCAAAATTCTGCTAAATTTGAAGGTTGACATTACTTAATAATTACACCCTATCCAATGATATGCAGTTAATTATTCTTTAGGTAAAGAAATGCTACACTTGTTAAAATTTTGAATTCGTGTTTGTCAATTCAATGTTCTTTATATATATTATATATTATAAATAATATATATAATATATAATAATGATATATATATATATCATATAATCACATTTTCATGCACTCGTGCTACATGTCAATAGACATTCAATATGTTTAGATTAACATGCTTAAAACATATAAAATTTACAAATTCTTAACATCGGAGTTTTCATGAAATAAAAAAGGCTAAAGCGTGACTGAGCACCTCAGAAATTATTTGATAGATGAATAACTACTGAATATCTAATGATGCAAATAGAAATGGCACAATCCGTGGTAAGACTATAACGCAATTACAAAACACTAAGTTAAAACACGTTCTTGGGAATGTTAAACCAATCTAAACAAAAACACTAATATCTTCCTTACCTGCAACATTTAACACCCGGTTTTTCGATCATGCTATTTCGGCACCACAAAACTTCAGGCATTTCCACCCGTGTAATCGCATACGATTGCTCCGATGTAACACCGATACACGTGCATCGCTAATTGGGATCGCTTCTTTCTTCGGATCCTTTTTATCGCAATATCCTTCAGTTCGGATTCTGATCGTAGCGAATTTTCGTCGCTAAATAGGTAGTTCGGTCGAATTTTCTCTGTCTTCAAGAGAATTTTAGCGACTTCTCTGAATGGTAGTTTTCTGTATTTTCTTCGATCAATACGAGGCGAATACTGGGTCAGTGTCAAAAACTGGTAATGAGCTTTTCCTCTTCATTTTTGACCCTTCCATTTTCCTTATATACGTACATACGCGCGCGCGCGCGCACACACACACACACACACACACACACACACACACACATATATATATATATATATATATATACACTTAACTACTACACATGAGGGAGATACCTGGAGGAGGAATTCCCTACAAGGATGTGTAGGTCGACATCGGATCTCATGTTTCCGTGGAGGATCCCCACCACCTAGCACAGTGCAATACGAACTACACTTACGGGACAAACGAAATACGCAGTGGACGCGCAGGTAAATACTATAAATACTCACTCATTCCGTCCGATCGACTGCTATCCGTTACCAGTGTCACTTCACACCGCCGCCGCCAACATTCTCGGTCGCGTGTTTCCGATCGCACAGCACAACGCGCGAAGCAGACAAATTGCGCGCATTAGGTGGGAGGGTCCCGCTGAAATCCCGCCTATAAATTTTCGCGCACGCGCCTCCCCACGCGCCGCGGCCGGGTTGCGAGTTCGACTCCGGGTGAGACGACTCATGGCGATTGTTACGGATAAAGATTGGGAATACCGGGTTAAATCGTACATGAGCCAGATGGTTTAGAAAAAGCTGTGTGATTGGTGGCACTAAGATCATCACGAGCTTCAACCAGCTAATGTTGAGCGCAAGATGGCGTAAGGTGGCCGTCCGAGTTGAGGGGTGTTCTGTGTTCTCGAAAAAGATTTTGGTATATAAATGTCAAGAATATTATGTGTTGAAAATACCCAAGATTGTTTTGTGTAATTTGTGAAGGATGGAAAACGAAGCATCGTCGCAACTCGAATAGGTGATCGTCTACTGAGGTATAATGAAGTTAGGTTTGGTAGTATATATATAAGGGGAACTTTGTCACAGAGAAACGAACTCTACGTGTAACATCGGAATCCGACATTTGACATTCAGGAATGAATAAAAAATTTATGTTTTGCATAAAATGTTTACATCAAATGAAATAATATTCGCAAAATATATTTCACAATTTCAAGCAAAAATAAAATATGTCCGAGATCCCCTATTGGGGATGACAGCAGTTAGTGGGTTAATAGTATTTAGTTCATGATGTTAAGACTTATTTTTTCTCGGTGCCAACTTCAAAAATCACAGGCAACCGCAATTGAGGCGACGTAGTTCAAGGGACGAAAAACGAAAATTATTCGCATGGGAACTAAAGCTGATAATATGTAATATTGATGCATGATGATACAAGTAACCTATCATCTAAATATACTAGACAAGTTTTTAAAATGTATCTCTTTTAAAAATATTCTCTTGAATATTCACACGGTATTGTTTTTTCCTTCATTGAAAAGATATTTATGTATTAGGTTAGGATTTCCATTCTAAAGTTCTGAAAAAAATATTCTATTGTTTGTATAATGATGGCACAATAGCTATGGCCTGTGTGTGAAATGTAACGTAATATTGATTTTTAATGTTTTTGTCTTTCTTGCTTATAATTTAGCCATATTTCATGAATATCTTTCTGTGAATCTTTTGCTAAACTCTTTAATTTTTCCTAAACCTCTGTGCTGCAGAACAAAATCGATTAAATATAACCAGGTAAACTGACTGCAATTCCACAAATAATGGTAAAATGTTTATGGTAGGTTTCGCGTAGGCTTCCGCGGCCGGAGTTTATTGTCTAGGCTATCCGGGACGAGCCGCGTCACTGTCATGGTGGCTAACGTTTCGGCCAGCGTTCTGTGGCCTTCTTCAGAGCGTACTGAAGAAGCGTACGCTCCAGTACGCTCTGAAGAAGGCCACAATACGCTGGCCGAAACGTTAGCCACCATGACAGTGACGCGGCTCGTCCCGGATAGCCTAGACAACTGGTACTTGTAAAATGTTTGTGTAAAAATGTTTATTTAGTCTGTATGTACTGCATTACTTGCAATTGAAAACTGGTAACATTTATGTTACTAATCAAAATGTACATACTATTACGTTGCCACTACACCATCAATGGGCTAAATTAAAGCTTAACTGTTAATGTGGGCACTGAAGTTGTTTCATCTCCAACTATTATTGAAGAAATGTTGTCAAATGACTGACATATATAATTATTTACGCCCATACAAAAATAAGGCAGCAATATTTAATAAAGGATTTTGAATGCATGATGATTATTAACAAATCACTAATAGCAGTTAAAAATAATTTAGCTCATTTTTGAGTTTTTCTTCGTTTTTCCACTTTACTAGATACGCGAGTCTATTTTTAAAAATGAATGAAATTAATTAACATATTTTGCGCTAATATTCATTAGAAATTGAAATACTGTACGAGTAAAGCGATACGTTTCTGAACATTATGCCTCGAAAACTCTTTTTGTTTCGATGATTTGAAAAGCAGGTGATTTTGTAAGTCAGCAGTGTTTTTTAAAAGTAGATTAATGGATCGCGTTCAAATAACTATAATCAGAGCAGAACGTAAATGACCGGTTAATTTCCTTGAGTTACCATAATTACACAATCGTATTATTTTCCGGAAAAGGCTTTGTTGCCTACGTGCCTTTTAATAGTCGGTTAGAGACATAAATCTTTATTGTATGGCACGTTACAAATAACATGGCTTTTTACAGTAATGACATTGAACGACAGTGAATAACAAGGTCATATTACGTGTTTTAAATCCTGTTCTCGTAAGGCTAATATTTTCATTATACTACATTATTAGACAATGATGTTAATGTTCTTTATAATTTACATATTTTTCGTATTAATTGAGAATAAACTAGCGACGTTGAAACCAGTAAATTGATTTGAGTACATCGTTATATTATGTCGGTTTTCCTCTTTACAATTTCTGTATATTGTGTGTTCAGGCAATGTTAATTAAAAATAAAGGTGTGGCTAGTCATCGCAAAAGAATAGTTTCGGGTGGTAATAAATTTATTTACAACTTTTTATTTAACATATATTTTATATTCACATCACTTCCATGATTGAAGTTTGCATGGTAGAAAATACTTTCAAATCCAGTCACATTGAGTAAAAAAACCTTAATTCATGAACAGACAAAACACATTAAGTTTGATTGCCATGAGAAATTGTTATGAAATTACTACTACTATTGTGCCTTGAAAATTTGGGTAAAT